TTTATATTTCTAGTAGAGACAGGGTTTCACCGTGTTAGCCAGGATGGTCTCCATCTCCTGACCTCGTGATCCGCCCACCTTGGCCTCCAAAAGTGCTCGGATTACAGGCATGAGCCACTGTGCCCGGCCCTATTTTTTTAACTTTTAATTTTTTCTTTTTTTTTTGAGACAGTCTCGTTCTGTCGCCCAGGTTGGAGTGCAGTGGCGTGATCTTGGCTCATTGCAAACTCCACCTCATGGGTTCAAGTGATTCTCCTGCCTCAGCCCCCTGAGTACAGGTGCACGCCACCACACCTGGATAATTTTTTTTTTTTTTTTTTGAGATAGAGTCTCACTCTGTCACCTAGGCTGGAGTGTAGTGGTGTGATCTCGGCTCACTGCAAGCTCCGCCTTCTGGGTTCACACCATTCTCCTGCCTCAGTCTCCCAAATAGCTGGGACTACAGGCCCCCACCACCATACCTGGCTAATTGTATTTTTAGTAGAGATGAGGTTTCACCGTGTTAGCCAGGATGGTCTTGATCTCCTGACCTCGTGATCCACCCACCTTGGCCTCCCAAAGTACTGGGATTACAGGAGTGAGCCACTGCGCCCCGCCTTTTTTTTTTTTTTTTTTTTTTTTTTTAGTAGAGTTGGAGTTTTGACATTTGGCCAGGCTGGTCTTGAACTCCTGACATCAGGTGATCTTCCCACCTCAGCCTCCCAGTGCTGGGATTACAGGTGTGAGCCATTGTGCCCAGCTCCTTTCTACATTTAATAAGTGTCTTTCTGATTAAAAAAAAAAATAGAGGTTTCCTTAATCAACTGGGAATGAACTATGTTCCCCTAAAAATGCAGGGTAAATGCTTTTTTAAATAAAGTTTTGAGTTACAGAAACTTTAAAAAATCACTATTGCAAAGCAACCCAAAACATTTTTTTTTTTAAAGATAGGCTGGGCGCGGTGGCTCCCGCCTATAATCCCAGCACTTTGGGAGGCTGAGGCAGGCGGATCACGAGGTCAGAAGATCGAGACCATCCTGGCTAACATGGTGAAACCCTGTCTCTACAAAAAAATATTTAAAAAATTAGCCAGGCATGGTGGCAGGTGCCTGTAGTCCCAGTTACTCGGGAGGCTGAGGCAGGAGAATGGCGAGAACCCGGGAGGCGGAGCTTGCAGTAAGTGGAGATCACGCCACTGCACTCCAGCCTGGGTGACAGAGCAAGACTCCATCTCAAAATAAAGAAATAAAATAAATAAAAAATAAAAAGATGGTAAAAACACGTTAAAGTTCACCATTTTTACCATTTTTTAAGTGTACAGTTCAATATATTTATTGTTGTGTAACAGATCGCCAGAACTTTTCATTTTGCAAAACTAAAATCTTGTACCCATTAAGCAACTCTCCATTTCACCCTTCTGCATCCCCAGTTCCCAGCAACCACCGTTTTACTTCCTGTCTCTATGAATTTGTCTACTCTGGATGTTTCATATAAATGGAATTGTACAGTATTTCTTATTGTGACTGGTTTATTGCACTTAGCATAATGTCCCTGAGGTTCACGCATGTGTTGAATGTGACATGATTTCCTTCCTTTTTAAGGCTGAATATTTACATATGCGTGTGTGTATATTGTATGTATATATCATTATTTGTTTATCCACTCATCTGTCAATGGACATTGATACAGTCTACTACAATGGATATAGTCCCAGGTACTTTGGGGGATGAGGTAGGAGGATTGCTTGAGCCTAGAAGTAGGTTGCAGTGAGCCAAGATGGCACCACTGCACTCCAGCCTGGGCAACAGAGATGCTGTCTCAAAAAAAAAACCCCCAAAACACACAACTCATTGTAATCATTCTTCCTTCATGTTCAAATGCAACCAAATTTGGCCAGTAGGAGATCCCTTCACCCTAGCTTCTTTGACCTTTCGATCTGACTTCCGTGTCTTCCCTGCTTTCCAGAACTGCCTTAGTCCTACTTAGATTTCAGGATCCACTGTTTCTCCAAGGGGCCCCGGCGTGGTTCCTTTCAGCAGGGAATGGTATTAGAGACCACGATGTGAGTACTGTGTGCTGGATGCTACCAGGGTGTCACTGCTTTCAGGTCTTTTTTTTTTAACTCACCATACACAAAGCAGGAGGTCCTAGCTCCTTGCAATGGACAGATAGGAGCTGTTGCCCAGGCTGGAGTGCAGTGGTGAAATCTTGGCTCACAGCAGCCTCCAACTCCTGGGCTCAAAGGATCCTCCCATCTCAGCCACCTGAGTAGTTGGAACTACAGGTGCATGCCCCCACGCCTGGCAATTGTTATTATTTTGGATAGAGTCTCGCTCTGTTGCCCAGGGTGGAGTGTAGTGGCACGATCTTGGCTCACTGCAATCTCTGCCTCCCAGGTTCAAGCGATTCTCTTGCCTCAGCCTCCCAACTAGCTGGGACTACAGGTGTGCACCACCATGACTGGCTGATTTTTGTATTTTTAGTAGAGATGGGGTTTCACCATGTTGGCCAGACTGGTCTCGAACTCCTGGCCTCAAGTGATCTGCCTGCCTCCTCCCAAAGTGTTGGGATTACAGGCGTGAGCCACCACGCCCAGCCAATTATTTTTTATTTTGTATAGTATTTCCTCCCTTCTTTTTTTTTTTTTTTTGAGACAGAGTCTCGCTCTGTCGCCCAGGCTAGAGTGCAGTGGCCGGATCTCAGCTCACTGCAACCTCTGCCACCCGGGTTCAAGCAATTCTCCTGCCTCAGCCTCCTGAGTAGCTGGGATTATAAGCGTCTGCTATCACGCCCGACTAATTTTTTTATTTTTAGTAGAGATGGGGTTTCACCATGTTGGCCAGGTTGGTCTTGAATTCCTGACCTTGTGATCCGCCTGCCTTGGCCTCCCAAAGTGCTGGAATTAAAAGGCGTGAGCCACTGCGCCGGCCCTTTTTTTTTTTTTTTGGGACGGAGTTTTTGCTCTTGTTGCCCAGGTTGAAGAGCAATGGCACAATCTCAGCTCACTGCAACCTCTGCCTCCCAGGTTCAAGTTGTTCTCCTGCCTCAGCCTCCCAGCTAGCTGGGATTACAGGCATGCACCACCACGCCCAGGTAGTTTTTAAAAAAATATTATTTAGTAGAGACAGGGTTTCACTATGTTGGTCAGGCTGGTCTTGAACTCCCAACCTCATGTGATCCATCCACCTCGGCCTCCCAAAGTGCTAGGATTACAGACATGAACCACCGCACCCGGCCCCTTGTTCTTTTTTGTGTGGCTTAATAGCCCTCCAACCCCCTCAGCCCGAGAGGGAGTTTCGCTCGTCGCCCAGGTTGGAGTGCAATGGTGCCATCTAGGCTCACTGCAACCTCTGCCTCAGTGACTCTCCTGCCTCAGCCTCCTGAGTAGCTGGGATTACAGGCGCCCACCACCATGCCCGGCTAATTTTTCTTTTTTTTTCTTTTTTTTTTTTTGAGACGGAGTCTCGCTCTGTCGCCCAGGCTGGAGTGCAGTGGCGAGATCTCGGCTCACTGCAAGCTCCGCCTCCCGGGTTCACACCATTCTCCTGCCTCAGCCTCCTGAGTAGCTGGGACTACAGGCGCCCACCACCATGCCTCAGCTAATTTTTTTTTGTATTTTTAGCAGAGACAGGGTTTCACCATGTTAGCCAGGATGGTCTTGATTTCCCCACCTCATGATCCGCCCGTTTCGGCCTCCCAAATGCTGTGATTACAGGCGTGAGCCACCGCACCCGGCCTAATTTTTGTATTTTTAGTAGAGATGGGGTTTCGCCATGTTGGCCAGGCTGGTCTCAAACTCCTGACCTCAGGTGATCCACCCACCTCAGCCTCCCAGTGTTGGGATTCCAGGCGTGAGCCACCACGCCAGGCTCAGCAGCCCTTAAAAAATCCTTTATTATAGAGCTTTCCAAATAGATACAAAATTAAAAACACTGAACCCTCCTGTACCTATCACCGAACCTCAGAAATTGTCAAGGCAGTGCCAAGTGACAGCAGCCGTTCAGAATCCAGCCCTAGGTGGCTTGAGTGATGCTGTGAGCACAGGGTTAGGAGCTGGAAACTTTCATTTCAGTGACCATAGGAGCAGAGACCACCCCTTCGGAAGATAAACAAACTCACCTCTCCTTTCATCCCTCCATCCCCCGAATCACCTGCGTACTTATCTCATGCCAGGCACCGGGGCACACTGTTATTTATGCCTGCTTTGTTTCTGCTTGCAAGAACTAGGAGACATGAGCTGTCTCATCCCCATTTGTGGGCAGAGGCTACAAGGCAGTGAAGTGTGATCCTAAAAGCAAGGGGGTGCTGCAAGCACTGAGAATGGAGCACCCTGCTGTCCAGCAGTCAGGAGGGGATTATAAAAAGCTGAGACACATCTTGGGGTATTGTAAGTGCAAGGTGCGGAGCTAAATGAATCCCGAGGCCCACCCAAGATCAGAGCCCTAGGGAGAGGTAGCGGGTGTGTGAGTGGGAGGACAGTAGGAGCCATGGACAGAGTTCAGTTTGGACACTGTTCTCCGGTGAGCAGACACACACTGGTCAGAAACAACCTTGGCCCCTAGTGCCTGGGCCATCCACCCACAGCAGGAACTGTTCACACACCTCTGGGCCATCCCTGATGGGACTAAGGTGGGCAAGCACCATTTTAGAGAAGAGGAAATGAAAGTCCAGAAGGATTAGAAACTTTGACCCAACTCACGAGGCTAAGTGGGACAGCAGTTTTGGCCTGCGACTGCCCAACTCTCAGCCTGTGTTCACCCTCCAGGCCCCCCACCTCTGGGGCCCCGCAAGAGACAGTCATTACTGCTTTAACTGAACAGATAAATGGCAGGGCCGGGGCTGCCCAGAGGAAAGCGGGTAGGGGGAAGACCTGCCAAACCCCATCCTCCCTGACAGAGCATGAGACGGGAGACAGGCCCGTTTGCTTCTCTCCTCGGTCTACACCAAAAAAAACTTGGATTTAGCCAACAACAAACACTGGCAGGAACTTTACAGTTTATAAAGCTTTTGCATATGTCACCTCTGGTTCCTCCCAACCAACTTACGATGCTTTATTACCGTGATTTCAGACAAGAAACAGGCTTACAGAGGTAAGGGTTTGAGACCACTCAACTGGTTTTAAACGGAATCTGGCCAGAGGTGCCGGCTCCACGTCTACTGCCCTTTCGGCAGCGCCATGGTGCCTCCCACAAAACACCCACAGCGTCCTTGGCTAATGAGGGGCCCTTGTCGGAGGCCACAGGAAGCCTTTTCAGAGCCCCTCTGGGGCATGAGTAGGGAGCGGCTCTGCTCCCCAGAGCTTCAAAGCCCCATCAAGGAAGGGCTGAGAACTGACCTGCTGAAGTGGCCAAGTGTGTGTATGGGGGGAGTGGACTCAATTTTTATTTTTGAAACCTCATGCACAGAGTTCCTTATATTCCTCAGGTCCCACAAGAGTACCAGGTGCAATTTCAGAACCACCTTTCTAAACCTCTGCCCACCGACTGAAAGCAACGCGGCCCTTCACAGCCCGGCTTCCTTCTTTTGACACACAGCTCTTCCGCTCCAGTGGAGAGTCGCCAAAGGTCACAAAGGATAAACAGTCTCCTCTGGACTCCCGGTCTGGGAAACCCGTTTCAGCCCTGGGGGGAGCCCAGTGGCCACTGGCGCTGCCCAGGGGCTGCTGTGGGGCAGAGATAACACACACAGGAAGGGTGGGGTGGCAGGAGCCCTCCCAGGAGCAGGGCTTGCCCGTAAACAATGAGCTGCCGCCTGGCCAGGGCAGGAGGTGATTCATCTCCCCCCGCTGCTCAGCTCCTGGCTGGCTGCGCTCACGGGGCACGGAGGGACTGGGGCAGCCCTGGCCAGGCGGTGACGCCTCCCTACTCCCTGCACAGGTCAGGATCTCACCCCAGCCCTTCTGGAAACTGGCTTGACTTCAAAAGCCTGGGTGTGTCCAAGAAGTGATCTGGACTGGGGAGTGCTCAAGTGCACCCAAGGGAGCACAGCTCCACCATCACCCAAAAACTGGCTGGGTTTTGGGATCAAGGCGGCACATGGAGCGAATGTGGAGCTTGGGGGGTCCCGCCTGTCCATGTCCAGAGGCGTACACGGGTAACAACGGTGACTTCTTGGGCCACCCCTCTGAACGGCGTCCCAGGCCTCCATCACCCTATCGTCAACCCTGAGGCAGTAGTCCCAACCAAGATGGGGGGACATGTGAGCTGAAGCATTTGCCTGCAAACAGAATGCAGGAGAGGCCAGTGCATCTGAGATGCCAAGAGGTAAGAAAACGGCACTTTTAATGGGCAGCAGACCCCAGGTGGTGCGTGGACAGACCCTGTCCACAGCACCTGGCTCCTGTGCTGCCTGTCCTTCTGTCTGGAATGCCACATAGAAGCTCCTCTCAGGTGGCATCAGGGGAGTAAGTCCCAATCCTGATATATACAAAGTGGCGCCTCCAACTGGGCAGTGGTCACTGGGCTGCACAGTCCTTTCGAGTTCTAGGGTGGCCCCTCAGGTCACTGCTTGGCCTTCTTCACAATGGTGCCCACAGCAGAGATGACGGTGGTCTTGGAGCCGCTGGCGCTGGTGGTGACCGTGACGACAGCTGGCAGGGTGGCTGTGGTGGTGAGGATGGTGGGCTGGGCTATCGTCGTCACTGGGATAGCCGAGTCCCACTTGCTCTTTCTCTTCTGAGCATCTGGAGATAAAGCAGAAGTCAGGATCACGATCCACTAATGAGCAGTGCTCTCTTTCCCTTCCCCTGCAGGCCAGCAGGGGCCTAGGGAGCAGAAACCGAAGGGGCCCCCCCCCAGACTCCAAAGCTGGTTCTCAAAGTCCTTGCTTAGAAAAGAGCAAGGCTGAGCCTAGGCCTAGATCCTGTGTTGTCCGTTGCCCAAACTAGCCAGGGAGGCACTGGCTCCGTGTGTGTGGCAGGAGGCAGGGAGGCAGGGCAGCTCTGCAATCTACCTGCAACAGCTGTGCTGGCGGTGGTAGTGGTGGTGGCTGTGGCGTTGGTCGTGGTGCCTTTCTTGGTGCCCGTCACAAACTCAATCTGGAGAGGGAGAGGGAAGAGAATAAGGCCGGGCAAAGCTGGGTGTCCATAGCCTTTTGCCATCCGTCAGCTCCTGGGGGACAGGAGCTTGGCACTACACAAAAGAGGCATTGGAAATGAACTCTGCTCTGACCATCTGGGGGAGGGCGAGGTGTCTAAGAAGAACCCAAAGGGGCTTTTCACTCTTAAAAGAACTTTCCAAACAGTACTGGATCCCTCCCGGCATCACCAGGTCTCTGCACATGCCCGGCACCCCCGGCCCACCGCCCCACCTCACATGCCCAGAACCGTTTGGCCAGGCCCCTCCTCCTCACACCCAGGAGGAGGCGGCGCCCGCCCGCACAGGGGAAGGACAGCTCCGGTCCCCAGGCGCTGCAGACACGTCCCTGCAACAAGCCTGGGGTTTGGAAGGGAGAGGGAAAGAGAGAGAAGGGAGATTCAATCAAGGGTTAAGAATGAGAAACCCCGATTATCCCCTTGCACCAGCTCCCACGTTCCTGGCCCAGCAGCCAGTGACTCCAGAGGGCCACCAACATGCCCAGGCCCCACAGCTCCTCTGCCTGGGGTGAGGGAAGCAGTCTGGAGGCCGCAGCTGCTTGAGGATGGTCAGGCCGAGCCAGACGTGGGAGGAGCTGGTGTCCTGATGCCTGGCTCCGAGACTGGTCACAAAGGGAACAAGGCCCAGAGATAACACTTTGGTCTCACAGCCAAACTGATGCTCCCTGAAGAACCCAGACCACACTGCTGGGTAACAAGTGGTGCTCAGGGCCCTAACATGGGACCTAATAGGTAGCACCCAGGCGGGCCACCGAGGGCAGCTCTGGAGGCCAAGAAACTCACTGAGCAGAGCAAGCTGGGCCCGGCATTCTCTTAGGGAATTACTTCCCTCCCTTCAGGCCACAGAGGGCACCCACGACCCGAAATAAGACAAAGCCCCCCAAGGTTCTGCAATTGAGGGGAGGAAGGGGGTCACAACGCAGCAAGCAAGACTCCAAGGGCAAGGCAGCAGGCGAGCACCGCAAACCCAGAGCAGGGCCTGTGCACTGACATGGGGCCAGGGTGGGGGGCAGTCTGGACAACCTCTGGGCTCAGCCAGCAGGACCCATGTACTTCACATCTGCCTTTTCCATCTAGGAGGTCTGCCATCACTTACTTTCGTTCGCTCCTTTTTGGCCTTTTCCAATTTGTCCATCTCAATCTTCTGGGCCTTGGCTATGAAGACAAGAGAAGCTGTTACAAAGGTGGCCCCTGAGCAGCTCTGGGCTGAGGGAGCCGACTCTGATCCCTGCGTTCTTTTCAGTGGGCTAAAGGTCTTCCTGGGCTCAGTGTTCTTCGTGCTAGGCAAAATGAAGCCAGCCCTTGCTTGGCGTAGGGCAGGGGCCTTCAGCTCCAGACTGGAGGGCTGCATGCCCCGCGTCTGTGTCTGGAAGGGTCAGCTACTCCTGAGTTCCTGTGGACTGCCGCACATGGAAACACAGGCCCAATGGGGACTACCTTGCTACTGACTGAGAGAAGCTGGAATCAGAGATTATTATGTAAAATGTTGGCAATGAATTCAAATTAAAAGACAGTAACATTCATGAAGGCCAAACAAAGCACCTCTACAGGCCAAGATCTGGGCCATGGGCTGCAGGCTCAAGACCTATGGTCTAGGGGTTTGGGCCCTTTGACATTCCTCCCAGTTCTCCCAAACTGGTACCTTAAGAATAAGCCACCCTCTCACTGGCCTCGGAACATTCTGCCTGCACCTGCCTGGCCCCTCTGCCTCTTCAAACCTCAGCTGGAACACAGTTTTGTCAGTGAGACCTTCCCATCCCTTTGGCCAGATTAGATGACCCTGCTTGCCAAAGCTCCCCTATACCCAGCAACTCCGTCATCACCAACACTTCATCGATGCTGGCATTACTGGCGTGATGCATTACTGGCATCTTCTTTGCTGTGGCATAAGCCTCTTAAGGCAGGGGTGGGTCTGTCTCATTCAGGCCTGTACCCAGCCCCTTGAACATGGCCTGACGTAGAGGAAACCTTGAAATATGTGTTGCCTGGATAACCAACTGACTGGATAAAGGGACAGTTGGGTGGGCGGACGAGGTATATGGGAGGAGGGATGAAAGGCTACCTAATGCCTCATAGTAGGAGTCCTCAGACCAGCCATGGGGATCAAACATATCCTGCAAAGGGAAAGGCGAAAGTTGCAGTTAGTAGGAACCATCAGATGACAAATGACTCAGAAACCCAAATTCCTTGCCTGAGTCTTTCCACAGAGCTTCCTGGTCTGGGGTCCCCTTACCTGGGGCTTGGGTGTCATCCCTGGTCTCTAGCCAAGGGGCAGCTGGCAAGTGCTGAAGAACACGGGAGCACGCAGCTCCCATCCAGTGACCCCCAAGAGCAGCAGGTCCGCACATGTCCCCACCAGTCAGGGGCCAGACACCAGGTTGGCCACTGGAATCTCTTTATTGGACTATTTCAGAACAACAGGGACTCAAACACAAGACATGGGGACTGTGCTTTCAACTAGCAGTGCCACTACATGGACCCTTCTGTGGCTGCAGGTCAAACCCCATGGAAGAAGCACAGGACCCCGGGTGTCCCCATCACCCTCCAGCTCTGTGTGCCAGACGTACCTTTGGGTAGTTGGTGCCAAGCTCGTCAATGGCACAGAACTGGATCAGCTTCTCGTAGATGCTGAAAAAACAGCACAGGCGTTGAGCAGGCACAAGTCCACGTCCCTGCATGGGACCTGAACCATCCAGCTCCTGGGGCTGACACAAAACCTTCAAAACCTTTAAATCCAGCTCAGCTGCTCTAAGCAAGCTTCCTGATGGCCCTACACCCTCCCAGGGAGATGGACCTGTTAACTAAGGGCCGGGAGGAGCATGGGATCAAAGTGATGACTGAGTTTTGTCCCACTGACCTTCAGTCTGCATGGCTGGGTTGGGCTCACCACACTCAGGCCCACACAAGGGCCATGCTCTTTCCCCCATAAGTCACTAGCTTGAGCATTAAATGGAATAAGACCAGACATAGCTCTGGTCCTAAGACCTCTCACCTATATGCAAAAATCAGCTTTTTAGAGTTGGAAGCTGAACCTATAGTAATTGTCTAGTCCAATTCCTTCCATGAGGACAGGGGCCTTGAGAGGTCATGTGCTTTAGGCTTAGAGCAGGGACGAGAACTCAGCCAGGTCTCTCTCATCCCCGTCTAGGTCTCGGTATGGATTGCTTTGTGTTTTGTCAGGATCTTAAATGGCAAGCCTCTGGCTGGGTTAGCATAGTCTGCTGTGTCCAGCAGGCGCTCAGTGTAATGACAAGTCTGGGTGATGGTTTGGGCTCAGGGCTTTTCCTCACCACCTCCTTGGGGACGTCTTCATCCTTAATCCAACATTAATAACTCAATAAACTCTGCAGGCTCAAGGGAAACTTACCTGGGGTTCCGAAATTCTTTCTTTCTTTGGATAATGTAGTTCATATCCATTCCCTCCTTTATTTTTCGTTCATAAAGCTTCTGGATCTTGTCCTATGGAAGAGGAGCAGAGGGGTGTATGACAGAAGCCCACCCCTCCACCATCCCAGCCCCCGGTCACCAGCTATGTGTGAAGCACGAACGTGAGGCTCCAGAGCCACGCAAAGCCCAACTTGACCTCATGTTAAAATTTAACCTATTCTTGGCCGGGCGCGGTGGCTCATGCCCATAATCCCAGCACTTTGAGAGGCCAAGGCAGGTGGATCACGAGGTCAGGAGATCGAGAACATCCTGGCTAACACAGTGAAACCCCATCTCTACTAAAAACACAGAAAATTAGCCGGGCATGGTGGCAGGCACCTGTAGTCCCAGATACTTGGGAGGCTGAGGCGGGAGAATGGCGTGAACCCAGGAGGCGGAGAATTTAACCTATTCTCAGCTGGGTGCGGTGGCTCACGCCTGTAATCCCAGCACTTTCGGAGGCTGAGGTGGGTGGATCACAAGGTCTAGAGATTGAGACCATCCTGGCCAACATTAAACCCCGTCTCTACTAAAAACACAAACAACATTAGCTGGGTGTGGTGGGGTGCGCCTGTGATCCCAGCTACTTGGGAGGCTGAGGCAGGAGAATCGCTTGAACCTGGGAGGTGGACGTTGCAGTGAGCTGAGATCATGCCACTGCACTCCAGCCTGGTAACAGAGTGAGACTCTCTCAAAAGCACAAAACGAAACAAAAAATTAACCTATTCTCTTTTTCCACCCTACCTTTTGCCCAGAATTGCACACAAGTAAGATAAACCAAGACCAGGCTGCTTTCACTGCTGAGGTTTCCTGATGCTCTCTGATGACAGTATAGTGAGCGGTGAAAAGATCACAGCAGAGGAGCCACGGAGAAAATAATGAACAAAGCCCCAACTGGTTAATCAGTTCCAGAATCATCCGAAGGGGTGTAGGGTACTGGTGTTGATACGCAGGGAATGAATCCTGGTTTTAAATTTTAACATGAGGTCAAGTCCTCAGCAGAACTGTGAACCACAGGAGACTTTGGAAGGGCTATGGCCTTTTGATGGGAGGCAGGAATAGTTCTTTGGATTCGGTCTTGTAAACTTTTTAGAATGTGTCTTTTACAGGGAGGCGCAAGGTGGCTGGTCTGCGCTGGCTTATCGAGGGTATCAAGGGTTAACTGTTTCTCTCTCACCCAAATTCCCCACAGGTCATGTCTGGCTCTCAGTGGGAGAGTGAACCACCACCAGGGGGGATGCAGGCTGACCTACTGCGGCCAGTGCCACAGGCGTCCTCAGGAAGGGGGGTCCTCCCCAGCCCATGGACATGATGCCCAAAGTAGATGGCATCAGCATGGCCCAGTGCCAATGAAGAGGGCCAAGACACCAGAGCCACCTCTGGAAAGAGCAGTCTCAGCCAGGAAGGCGGGCACTGGTCCAGGGCAAGATCTACCTGCAGCCTCCCCCTGCAGTGGGGCTTAAACAGAGATTCTCCAGAAGGGAAACACCTGAGGCACTGTGCCAGCAAAGCGGGCGGGCAGGCCTGGAGGGCCCAGGTGACAGCGTTTAGGACATGTCAGGAGGGGTGATCCTTAGAGGCCAAATCTTTCTACCGAGACTGGCCAGAGCAAGAGCTGAACCGCAGAGGGAGGTCTGTGATATAATCGCCGAGACTGAAGAACTTCTGTCCTCCAAGCTATCTCCTCCAGGGTCATGGAGGGAGCCATATATAGAAGGCTCAGCAACTTGAGGAGAACCCATGTCATACAGATGACTTGGCTGCGTCTCCTGGGCTGTAAGATCAGTTCTACCACCCCAGATGAACTAAAATGTTTGCTCAAATGCCATGGTTTCCACCATCAGGAGGGTCTAAAGAGGAGGCACATTCGGCACTGCAGGCTGTGCGCCAGTCGTCTCTGCCTGGCGGGTTGCTGGAGTTGTCCTTACAGGCTGGAGCTTGCTGTCTGGTTGTCTGGCATGGAGGGTGACGTGATTCTGGAGGGCGGTGGTGGGGAGACGACTCAGCAATGGGAGGAGACTTCCAGGAAGGGAAGATAATCTGCCCTGCACCCCCAGTTCTGACTCTGGCCCTCCCCCAGCTTGCTGCATTCCTTAGCCTCAGGTCCCATTAGTCATCCATCCGTTAGGGTGGTGTCACAGGCTTGCTGTGCAGCCAGAGGCCCCCAGTGGAAGCTCCAGGATCAAAGGTGAAGCAGGTGGCCCAGGAGCCATGATTGTGCAGCCTTGGGTGCCTGTTCTATTGTTCATCACAAGGGAACCCACAGAGGGACAAGGAGAGCCACGGGCTGAACCCCAGATGTCCCCCAGGGAGTGTAACTGCACAAAAGCTTCAACTCCTTGGGATTTGAAAACCTCCTGTCAGTGCTGCACATTCTGTCAAGCAAGAAGCTACTGAATCAGCATTTTAGAAATAGATTAGCATAGAAAAATGTATATATATAAATGCTTGTGATTTTTTCATTTCTGTAATTTATTTTACATTCTGAGGGTTCCTCAGTTTCTTAGCAAAGCTCTTTCTCAGAAGCTCCCATTGGCCCAGCAGGGCTGCAGAGAAAAGGTTATGTTCTTTTCTCTGTCTCTGCTTAGGACCTCACTGAGGGCAAGCCAGGGCCGCCCTGCTGGAGCAGCACCAGGGGACATGGTGGTGGGTGTAGGAGCCACCTCCTGAGATGAGGCTAATAGGAGGTAAAGAGGACTGCAGGATCCTTCCCACCTGTCAGTTTCTTTTATAGAAACCTCAGTCCCTTTCCCTGCCATGGTCTCTTAAGGTTAAGACCAAACCAAACACATAACCCAGGCTATCTAATCTTCCGACCTCAGTAGCCAAGCCTCATGCTTACTTGTAAGTGATTTGAACATCTGCCAGGGGGTTCTGGCGGGATCTTGATTTCATCAGGCGACATGTTCCGAACTCTTTCAGAAAAGGAGGCTATTGAGAGAAGAAGGAAAAATTCTGTAGGTGGGGATCAGAACAAGGGACAGACATGGACAAAAAAAATAAGCACATAAAATGTTATCAGGTAGGGATAAACACTATGAAAACAGTACAACTGAGTGTTCAGATGTGGCCTCTGTGAGGTGTCATCTCAGCTGAGAGTGAATGACCAGAAGGGGTGGGCCATGTACCAGCTTGGGAGAAGAAAAGTTCAGACAGAGGGTATAAATGTATACAGTAATTAACTTCCCCCCCCCCTTTTTTTTTTTTTTTAAAGAGACGGGGTCAGCTGGGTGTGGTGGCTCGCACCTATACTCCCAACGTTTTGGGAAGCTGAGATGGGCAGATCATTTGAGGTCAGGTGTTCTAGACCAGCCTGGCCAACATGGCGAAACCCTGTCTCTACAAAAAAAAAAAATCAACTGGCAGGGTGATGCACGCCTGTAAACCCAGCTACTCGCGAGGCCGAGGAATGAGAACTGCTTGAACCCGAAGGTGGTGGCTGCAGTGAGCCAAGATTGCGCCACTATACTCCAGCCTGGGTGACAGAGTGAGACTCTGTCTCAAAAAGGAAAATAAAATACAGAAAATGAAATAGAGATGGGGCTTTTAGCCTGTAACCCAGGCTAGAGTGTAGTGGTACAATGATAGCTCACTGCAACCTCGAACTCATCTCAGCTTCCCAAGTAGCTAGGACTACAGGTGCATGACACCATGCCTGGCTAATCTTAAAAGTTTTTGTAAAGATGGGGTCTCGTTATGTTACCCAGGCTGATCTTGAACTGTTGGATCAAGCCATCTTCCCGCCTTGGCCTCCTAAAGTGCTGGGATTATGGGTATGAGCCACTATGCCTGGCCCACAATGGTTAACTTTTAAGGAAGAGTCAGCAGTGTGCTGGTAAATGTTTAATCACTAGCTGGGTGTGAGGATGGAGAAAGTGGGGATGCACCATGATCTATGGCATTTGCCATTTCTTGTGGTGTAAATTCTTCTGCCATGGCCAATTTCAAGCTACCAAGGTAAAGTCACTGAACCCAGGGCTGGGAAGAGACGTACACAATAGGCTCACCACGTGAGCCAACTGCAGCCACCACTGCATGTCTCTAAACCAGCTCCAGCCACCACTGGATATGTCTCTAAAATACTTGCAAGACTTTGGAAACTAAGAGGTGCTTGGTGCCACCCGTCTCATCTACGGCTAACCTGCCTAGGCTACAGGAGAAACAGAATTCAGGGTTCCCTAAGTTTTGGGTCGCAAAGTAAACAAAATGGCCTTGTGCATAAATGATACATACTACCGTTATCAGCTGAGGATCTTTTAAAAATAAACAAATCAACTCTCTCTTAGCCCACCTCATTCCTGAGAACAAAAGGCCCGTTCTGGTGGGAAGAACCACAACCCCCAGGGGACAATTTCCTCAGAGATCTGCCGCGGTGGGCAGGCCTTGCTCTCTCCAGCCCCTTCCCCGCAGCCTCGGGCCACCCCGCAGCCTCGGGCCACCCGGGCACTGCAGTCTTGCTTTGGCTCGCTGGGACAATGTGCTATTTGTTGTTAAGATTCTGTCTGCTCTTCAAAACACTCCCTCATGAAAAGGATCATACAATAAGCAAAGAGCAGGCAGGCAGGGTGGGGCAGGACGAAGAGAAAGAATGAACAAACCACCAAAAACACTCAGCAAGCACTTACTGGGCACCTACTGTGTGCAGGCCTGCTAACCCACTGCTGAGCTGCCCGGGCTGGCTTCGCAAGGCCAGCCCCTTCTCCTCTGCCCAGGCTGGGTTAATGTTTGCTTAGTAGATAAGGTGCTTTGATCTCTGCCTGGAGTTTCAAGTTACTGTAAAGAACACAGTGCCGAGGAGGGCTGGGGACAAGGCTCCCAGACTCTGCCAGTCCAGCTGCTGCAGCACAAGCCTGTGCACACTGCAAATACACTCTGAGCCAGGGGTCGAGCCTGGGGCCATCCTAAAAACATGACTTCATGTGCTGATTTTCACTGCTGTCAGTGGATTCTCACTGGAAGCGCCCCAAGAACAGAGCACCAATCTGCCATTTTGGATGAGGGCAAGAGGACAGAGACTGGCTGACACATTGATCAGAGGTCTTGCTGTGGATCCCAGATGCCAGTGCAGCCCAAGAGCCAGGGACGAGGTGCTTCTCTTTGCCCAGCACCTTCCTTTGGTCTCCTGACTCCTCAAGCAAAGCTGACACTCAGATATGGCTGGAATTCAACTCTCCTCCAACTTCCTCCTTCCTCCCAGCCCTGGAATACGTGAAAGTGCTAAGCCTGAGGTTGCAGAAGCTGGTGGAGAGTGGAATCAGCTGCAGGGAGCTGGTCCTATCTCACAAGCAGCAGCAATAAAAGCAAGGAGAGCCTTGGCAGGCACTGGGTACATAAATAAGCAGGGTTAACTTTTTCCCTGGGCTGGAGAGTGCATATGTGTGCATGTGACAGAGACAAAGAGTGCCCTTTGGCATTTGCCAGGAAAACCTTTTGGAAAAACAGGGTGTGACCCTGTTGCCACAGCAACCCAGCCACACTCTGGGGCTCACATGGTGTACAGTACAAGAGGAGGGGAGCCCCTCCTGAGCCTGGGGCTTGAAACAAGATAATTCCTAGGCAGTTACTGTCAAATAAAGGGACACATTCAGGAAAACTAGATACAAGTATACACAGAGCGTGGAAGCAGCCTTCAGTGACCCTCTCCTTCCTGAGTCCTGGAATGAATCTCATGTGGAAGACACCAGCCCCACATTTCTGTTTCTTTATTTTTTTTGAGACGGAGTCTCACTCTATCGCCCAGACTGGAGTGCAATGGCGTGATCTCAGCTCACTGCAACCTCCGCCTGCCGGGTTCAAGCAGTTCTCTTGCCTCAGCCTCCTGAGTAGCTGGGACAACAGGCATGTGCCACCATGCCTGGCTAATCTTTTTTTTTTTTTTTGTATTTTTAGTAGAAATGGGGTTTCACCACGCTGGCCACCTCAAGCCATGTCCCCAGCACATCCATAGAGCAATGTGTCCAGTCTCTTGGAAGCAGTGCTGGGTCTGTGGCTGCTGCCTGGGCATGATGGGGGTGTTCTCAGAGGCAGCCGCAGTTAGGACTTGAGAAGCCAGCTGTCAGCGTGAGTTGCCCTGGTGCATGCCCAAGTCAGAAAACACCCAAAGTACCCACAGCTGCCACGGAGGGATGTGTGCAAGAGTAGCTAGTTGGACGGGCTCATGGGATGGCAGGGAGTGAGTGAGCTGGGGGGCTCCATGGGACAGTGGAGTATCTCCAGCTCCTGAGTGACACAGAGAACCCACGCCCACTGCCACACCAGCACCACTGCTCCAGGCTCAGCCGTGGGCATTGACGAAGCCCTGGAGGGCACGGAGAGGGTGTGCATGCTTGGCTCTGTCAAGGGGCTGAGTGCTGCAGACACCTGTGGCTTGGCTTCTCTGCTCTCCTGCTTGTTCTCTTAAAGCTGGGGCTGTGGCCGGGCGCAGTGGCTCAACCCTGTAATCCCAGCGTTTTGGGAGGCCGAGACGGGCGGATCACGAGGTCAGGAGATCGAGACCATCCTGGCTAATTCGGTGAAACCCCGTCTCTACTAAAAAATACAAAAAACTAGCCGGGCGACGAGGCGGACGCCTGTAGTCCCAGCTACTCGGGAGGCTGAGGCAGGAGAATGGTGTAAACCCAGGAGGCGGAGCTTGCAGTGAGCTGAGATCCTGACACTGCACTCCAGCCTGGGCGGCAGAGACTCTGTCTCAAAAAAAAAAAAAAAAAAAAAAAAAAAAAGCTGGGGCTGTCTACATGCATGGACATGCTTCCCATACCTGGTAAGCAACCTGAGTCCTGACACCAGAGCGGACAAAAGAAGCTTAGGCAGAGAGGCTGACAGGCATCGCATCATGAATGGAAGCCACTGTCCTTCAACTAATTACGTCTTTAGTAAGAAGAACTAAACCAGCTACTCGTTAATGAGGAATGGCGAGTAATCAAAACGATGCTGCTTAAAGATCCATTTTTGTCCTCCACGGATGAATGAGTAAACAAACTGTGGTGTATCCCTGCAGTGAAATATGACTTGGCTACAAAAAGGAACTCTGGATATGCCCAACAACATGCATGAGCCTCGCAAGCACCGTGCTGAGTGAAAGAAGCCAGACAAAAACCCTACTTCCCTTTCTATCCCTGCTTCTCAACTGCGGGTGATTCTGCCCTAAGGGGACATTGATCACTGTCACATCTGGGGGAGGGAGAGTGCTTCTGGCATGCAGTGAGTAGGTAGAGACCAAGGACACTGCTAAACACCCTACAAAGCACAGGACAGCCCCACCACAAAGAATCATCCAGCCCAAAGTGTCAGTAGGGCCAGGGCTGGGAGATCCTGATTTATAGGAAATTCTAAAAAATGGTAAAGTTATAGTGAGAAAAATGGTAAATATAGTGAGGAGAGTGGTAGATCAAATGTCAATGAGGCTGAGGAGGGAAAAAAATCAGCTGTAACAGGGTTGGGGCAGAAGGGAACATTTCAGAGTGATGGGCGCGTTCTGCATCACGACTATGGTGGGGCTCACACCACTATATGCATCTGTCAACATTCATCAAATGGCACCCCTAAAATTGGCAAGTCTTACTCTATGTAAATTACACCTCAATAAAGCTATTTCCAAAAAATGGCACAGGGAGGAAAAGTGACAAGTTGGCTCTGGAAGCGACTGGGGGCTGAAATGGCTGATGCCCACACACATTCCACTGCCTGCTCAGCACTGCTAGCAAGAGCGAGGGCATCTCTGCCTTGGCATGTGACAGGCTGCTCTCTGATCCCCGGCCGTGCAGTTTCTCACAGTGAAATGCACGGTTGGCTTGGGTGATGGTGGGGTAAGAGGCCAAGGCTCCTGCCCACACCCTGCTGGTGGATCGCCTCCTTAGGGCAGGCCATCAGCTTCCCAGCAGATGTGAACTCTGCTTCCTCTGCCCTCAAAGCCAAATATTGCACTCCTATGGTGCCACTTTCTAAAGAACAAACCCTAGACTTTAGGAAAGTCCTGGTTTGTATAGGATTTGAAAGACTGAAACTCCACCAGAGAAGCCAGGGATTAAGGCCCTCCTGCTGAGGGTCTGGGCTGCTCAGCGTTACTGTGTTCCCACCCAATCCTTCTTTTTCTTTTTTTTTTTTTTTGAGACGGAGTCTTGCTCTGTTGCCCAGGCTGGAGTGCAGTGGCGCGATCTCGGCTCACTGCAAACTCTGCCTCCCAGGTTCACACCATTCTCCTGCCTCAGCCTCCCGAGTAGCTGGGATTACAGGCGTCCACCACCTCGCCCGGCTAGTTTTTTGTATTTTTTTTTTAAGTAGAGACGGGGTTTCACTGTGTTAGCCAGGATGGTCTCAATCTCCTGACCTCGTGATCCGCCCGTCTCGGCCTCCCAAAGTGCTGGGATTACAGGCTTGAGCCACTGTGCCCAGCCCCAATCCTTCTTTAAAAGACAAACAGAATCAACGATTCCTAGCTCCTTTAGTTCAGGAAAAGGAGAACAGGCTCCGTAGCAGAACTCCCAACAGAAAGGTCCTCCTGGGAGAAAGCCTGGGTGGGAGGGACTGACTACTGGGGCAGTGCTTCCAGGTGGTCCCTGGGCTCGGAACCCCCAGGGCTGGAGCCAGTGAGCCACTGAGGCAAGACCGCAGGAGGGAGGAGCCTGTTCGAGAGCCGGTAATGGCCGCCACAGAGAGGGAGGGCCAACTCCACCAAGAGCTCTGAGTCAGCTGCCGGGAGCTCCCCCAGGTCGGGCTTTGGGAGCCACATGAAAGGAGCTGGGGGGCTTTCTAAAAGGATTAAAAGCCTGGGGCTAGCACAGGACTTGGATGATGTGTGCTGTTTTCCAGAAACATAGTGTCCCTGCTCCTCCCAAATCACAAAGAGCCCCAGACTCCAGGGCTGTGAGGCATGTTCCTGCCTGGGGACAGAGCAAAGTGCCAGCAGAGGCCACATGCTGACTCCCTAAGCAGCATGCATATGCCAGCAGAGAGGGGGACGAGGGGGTGCAAAGACAGAGGACAAGCCCAGGGCACTAGGGGAAGCAGAAACCAAGACACGCTCCCAGCTGAGGGGCCCTGAACTCCCTCTTGACAGCGTGGGCAACCAACCAAAGTCCAATAAAACATACCACAAATACGATTTTCAAAGAAGAACTGTTCCCTGGGCGTCTCACCCGGGCATCCTAGGAAATGCCAAAGGCACTGAGAGGGAGCCGAAGGGACATGGGGCGGAAGGCCTGGCATGGCCGAAAGCCAGGCTGCTAGTGGTAAGGCTGAGAAACGTGTCCCCAGGATCCCCCAATACTCACCCACGAGTTCCTGGGGGTCTCGCTTTTCTGCTTCTGTATTATCCTGCAAAAGAGAAACAAACACGAGGAGGTAAGACTGGGGCTCCTGAACCAGCTACTCTCCGCTGAGACCACTCACGGTTTTTAAGGAAGGAGAAAAAGTAAAAGCACTGCCAGGAACACTAAGGGTAAGCTGATGTTTCAGGGGCCTCTGGCACCCCCAAGCCGCCAAACCTTCTTCTTCCCGCATCGCAGCAGCCAGATGCTCTGGAGCCCCATGCCGGTCTCTCCTCCAAAACTCTTCAGTGACCAAACCCACCATCACTGAGGAGAGCACACGCCAGCAAGCCTGCTGCGGCCACCTGGGCAACGCATACCCTGCCTGTTGCTCTCCCCTGGGTCCGAGGAAGCTTGCCTGAATGGAGTGCAGAGTTCAAGGCCCCGGCCAGCCCAGACATCACCACCTCTACTGCTGGTACCAAGGAAGCAAGAGGTGACTGCTTTCTAATAGCAGACTCCCGAGATGAAAATGCAGACTAGCCGCTCCCAAGATACTTATTTTTAGTTCAAAAAGGGAGGCTTCATCATGAGGATAAAGGGGCAGCTCACGGAACCTCAGAGCAAACGTGTAGCGAACCTTGAATAAGTGGCAGAATGGGGATCCGAGAGAGGCCCTAGGATGAAGGCAGCCTCTCTCTGGCTCTCAGCTCCCTTTCCACTGGCTACTCCCTCCAAAGAAAAGCTTCCTCCAATCCCTAATGCAAACAGCATCCCACGACAGCCACATCCACAAGTCCTACAGAAACCTGAGAGCAAAGGCTTCTGAGACGTTTTCTCTGGATTTCACTGTTCCATAGTAAACGTTTCATCTAAACCAAAGTCAACGCTGAGAAAGCCACGGTCCAAGTCCTACGTCACAAGTCTTCCCCTGCCTCCACTGTCTCAAGTGTAAAAGGGCAAGAACACATGTCTCCCCCATTTCTGGGTTGCTGACACCCAGGCCCTCAAACCCAGTTAGATCAACAATCTCAAGGGCCATACGCGCTAACGATCAAAACAGCAGAAGCAGAGTTCACAGAAAGCTGTCAGACCCCATGTCCTTTCCCTCTGATGAGCAAGGGAGGAGATGAGACAGGAAGACTCTGCAACAAGACCTCGAGGACAGGTGCAGAGCTCCGCCGGCTCCACTTCCACAGACATGGCACACCACGCCACGGCTCCGAAAGGAAGGTGCCAGGAAGGCCACCCAGTTCCCCACACTGAGCCTAGACTCAGTCTTAGCCCCCTTCCCAAAAAGTCCCTCCTGATGCTGGGACAGGCCAAATTCCCCATTCCTCAGAACACTGCAGCTATTCATTCAACCTGGCAGGGCACCACGTCCAGGCCAGGCTGCTTAGCAACCCATCTCTTCGAGCCACTGCCCCCTGCCAATCAGGTGGGCAAAGAGGAGGGTGGGAGCGGGCAGGGAGGCGCGCCTGGAGGACTGCCACACCAACTTCAGGTTGCAGTCATAAATCAGCGGCTCTCTAGAGACTGCCAGTCTCTCAGGGGGCGAACAACAATCCCTTTGTAGCAGTGACTCTGAGGAAACCAATGTTCACGAGTGTTAGTAACAAAACATGGGACTGTAAAATGTCCTTACATTCTCCCTCTAGAGAACAGCTTTCTGGGTGCTGATGGTGGGAAAACATCAGCTCTTCCCCCACATGCCAGCTGGCTGATCATACAGGGACTGACCATTCATTAACTCTCCCTCCAGTCCCCACTCACCCTTCCCCAAGGCTCCGCACCACACCACACCCGCCCCTTCTCATGGACTCAACTGCAGAGGCCCAATCATCACGCGGGGAGTCTACCATGTCTACCCCAGAGCCACAGGAAGTTAGTCACCAAACACACAACGGCTCTTCAAAGGGAAACACACTTGCCACTTCAGAGGCTCCTTAGGTCAAGTAAGAGGCCAGGAGCCTCCCCGTGGCTTCTTGTGGCTTTTGTGACCCTGCAGATGGAAAGGTGTGTGGGGTGTGTGTGCTGCCAGGCTCAGCTGAGGTTGTTGAGTCACGTCTCTGGAAAAAAAGAGATGATGGGGCAAAATCACAGGAAGGATTTTATCCCTTTATTTCAGTCTTTCCCTTTAGCTTGGCTCTTCAGTCCCCCCTAAATTATTCCTTCTATGCCTAAGAAATAAATAAACTGGATAGTTGGGTTTCAATTTGCCAACTAGTCCGGTCTTTGCTTTTCTAACCTCTTAGTACAAAAAAAGGGCATGGCATGCCCAGAGCACCCCTTCAACTCGCAACAAGAGGACTCTCATTCAGTACTGAACCTGAGGCCCAGAAACAAGGCCCGCCCAACTTCCCAGCAGCAGAATCCAGTTCCACGGGCCCTCCCACCCTCAGTGCCTCTGAACAAAGTAATGCCCGATGGACCACAGACCCAACTCCAAGTTCAAGAAGATTCTCCTGCCTTACGAGAACCCATCAAACCAAATGCATGAAGTAGCCTAGCCAGCTCAGAAGCCATATGAGTGTGCACGCCCAGGAGGAGGCCAGAGCTGCTGCACTAGGGTCTCCTAAGAAGACTCTGGAGTCTGTGTTGGTTCAGATTCCCATTGGTGTCAGGTACCCTTGGGACCTAGAAGGCTCTGGAGAATCAAGCTGGGAATCTGCCTCCTGCTGGCTATACCTTGTCATGTTTAGAACGTGATTCTTCTGCCCTTTGAGTCCAACAAGCTGGGTCGTGAGCTTGCTGAGCCCTGGGCACCTCTGCCACTGTGCCGAGCTTCTCCTGAAGAAGAAAGACAATAACCTAAGTTCTCTGGATCCTAAAGTGCCCACCTGGCCAGGTGCAGTGGCTCACGCATGTAATCCTAGCACTTAGAGAGGCTGAGGTGGGCCGGACTGCTTGAATCCAGGAGTTTGGGACCGGCCTGTCGTCCCAGCTACTTGGGAGGCTGAGGCGAGATCACCTGAGTTTGGGAGGCTGAAGCTGCAGTGAGCTATGATTATGCCACTGCACTCCAGCCTGGGTGACACAGGGAGACCCTGCAATACCCCAGAGCTGCTTTTTAGTACCATTTACACACAACTATCCACTGAATCAAGTTTCATTCAATGAAAGTGACCTCTATTCAAACAGTAACGATATTCCTCTATAACAACCTCCACGACAGGGAGGACAGGCCTAAAGAGATACCCTCTTACCAGTCATGTCTCAGATACCAGGTATTCAGTATGAAAAACGAACCAAGCACCCATGACAGTTATCATGGAAGCCAGCCACGTGTCAGAAAAAAACCTGTGAAGAACAATTTATTTTATAATTAAAAAAATTATTTTATTTTTAGATTTCGCGGTATATGTGCAGGTCTGTTATATGGATACATTGTGCAATGGTAAGTAAGGTTTGGGCTCCCAGTGTACCCGTCACCCAGAAAGTGAACACCGTACCTGGTAGGTAATTTTTCAATCCTCACATCCCTCCCAATGAAACATTTCAAATGACAGAACTAAGGAGATGGGGCCGGGCGCGGTGGCTCAAGCCTGTAATCCCACCACTTTGGGAGGCCGAGATGGGCGGATCACGAGGTCAAGAGATCAAGACCATCCTGGCGAACACAGTGAAACCCCGTCTCTACTAAAAAATACAAAAACCTAGCCGGGCGAGGTGGCGGGCGCCTGTAGTCCCAGCTACTCGGGAGGCTGAGGCAGGAGAATGGCGTAAACCCGGGAGGCGGAGCTTGCAGTGAGCTGAGATCCGGCCACTGCACTCCAGCCTGGGCGGCAGAGCGAGGCTCCGTCTCAAAAACAAACAAACAAACAAACAAAAAAGAACTAAGGAGATGGAAAAAAGGCTCAATTATTAAACTGCCAGTCGTTCAAGGCACTGGTGTTATACCACCTGCTCTAGGGGGAGAGTCTCACTATGCCCTTAAAGAGGCAGGAAGTGGGAAGAAGGGCTATGAGGATACAAGTAAAAAGCAACAAGAAAGCACTGTTCATCTCTTCCCTGCCAGCGGCGTTTTGAAATGCACAGGAAACACCTGTCTTGACTCCTACGAATCCACCCACTGGCCTCCAGGTAGAAATTCTCAGTTGGTCAAAGTAATGAACTCATCCTGCATGTCTACTCACCAGGCATCCGTCTACATTAGCCAGAGGGCATGGAACCCGCAGCCCAGAGACATGAGCAACACCACAGCCAGAACAGGCTGAGGGCTTTTCACCCCGTTCCTAAGGAAGGTGAAAACAAAGCGCCTCACCTAGGAAAGGAAGGCCGCTCCTGGGAGAAAAGACAGCCCCTCATTCAATTCCAATCAAGACACAAAGAAAAACAGACTGGGCATGCTGGGAGGCTGAGGCGGGCAGATCACTTGAGGCCAGGAGTTTGAGACCAGCCTGGACAACACGGTGAAACCTCCTCTCTACTAAAAATACAAAAATTAGTCGGGCATGGTGGTGCATGCCTGTAATCCCAGCTACTTGAGACGTGGAGGTTGCAGTGAGCCGAGATTGCGCCACTGCACTCCAGCCTGAAAGAGCAAGATTGTCTCCAAAAAAAAAAAAAAAAAAAAAAGACACAAGGAAAAACAAGAAGACAAAAACAAAAGCCAAGTTAGAAAACAGAAGGGAGGAAAGAGGAAGTATGGTTTAAATGCTGAGCTGGGGGAGAACACCAATCTGAGCCGAGGTCTCCTCCTCCGCCTGCACCCCTCATCTACCCAGACCCCACCTGAGACTAAAGGCCCAACAACCAGAGCGGGAGGCGGCTGCAGCAGGCTGGGGCTGTCCCTGGAGAAGAATAGTGATTTCAACCTGCCAATTTGATTTCTTAACCAACTGTGACTGAGACTTGGAAGATGCAACAGCCATGGCTGTAGGTCCTCAGGAATTACAGAACCTGGAATATGGTTCCTCCTGCAGAGAATACAAAAGTCCAGCCACTGATGAAGCTGACTGGAGTGCAGGAAGGAAGCAACAACAATATAGACCCACGAAACTGGACAAGCTGCCATTTGAGCTGGGAGGATTTACTCAGCAGAGAAGTACCAAGTCCTGAGTAAGA